TGTTATTCTGTTTGTGAATTGACACAAGGCCTGGTCATCAATGTATAAAGAACTCATATTTTGTTTTCATTTCCCTAAAATATTCGAAGTTGGAGTAATTTATTCATGAGTTGTCGTAAACACTGAAAACTGAAACAGGAATAAGTACGGTTTATTGACACGGCGTGAATGCATAAGTTGATCAACTGGGTGACTGATCAGTAACAAAGTTTCGACTAGTCTCTCACGAGCCTTTTTCAGGATGGATGGCTGTGGGGGATGCAGCTGTTATGGCGTCCACAGACGAAGGCGTGGTTTCGACCGATGCTGCAGGTTAAGTATTTTTTGGCTCACTGGCTTGATTTGACTCGTCCAATCCGCACAGAGTTCATTTCCTTTGCTCTGGTTGACATTTTCATAGGATTCAAAGACTCTTGAGAGGCGAGCCGAAAAGTCGGCAGTGGCCAGTCACTCGATCGATAAACTTTCTTGGTTGCGTTGTATATAAATAAACGGTTTTTATGCTTTATACGGTTTTATTACAATTTAAAACACTACCACTAAAATTTCGTGATTTATCTTCAAGCTAGCCGTCTCACAAATGCCATTTTCTGGAAGCAAAGAGCAGAGACCAGGGAGTGCTGGAGAAGCATTGACCTGCACTTATCCGCACCCATAACAAGGTCAAGTCAGATGAAGAATAACAGACAAATGTATGTCATTAGGAAAACAGTGTAAAAAATGATATAATTACGGGCAACGCAATATCATGCTTTGTTTGTAAATAAACAGTTCAATAGATTTATTGCGTTGCGTCTAAATACATCTGAATTTCACCGGAATAAAACGGCAAACATGATATGAAATTAAATTAATGAAGCTTGAATGCTAATTTTACAAATATTGGTTTATTTGCCGAATCTATCAATTCACTAATAGATAAAAGAAAAGTTTTGCAGAATGCATGAATGGACAAGAGTCAACGGTCAAATTCTATGAGCTACGGTGGCCGAGATGAGCCAAAATGTACAACTCCTTGATTTGCCAGCAAAGAGAACGTCCTCCCTTGAATTCGAGGTCTCTGTTTTTCGGAAACTGATTCAGTCGACCAGATATTTATACTCCAGATCTTGTATTCCTCCCGTTCTTACCAGGAACATTGTGAAGAACACGATTTCCTGCGTGCAGCAAACGTGCAACACCGCTGCGATATAGTCACCGAGATTCAGCTTCATCACCAAGTATTCCTGAAGAATAAGTATTCACAGGGGATACTGGACAAGTGAAGTTTTACACTAGCTCCAGCTTCATCTTGTGCCCGAACAGACCAGTGGCAATTTTGTCACACATGCCTCAGGCATCTGAGTCAGTCGGAACATGCAGGAATTACATGGCATTAACGATCGACTACAAGACCGGTTGGAGTCTATGGATGTTTCTTGCAAACCGAGGGAGGAGATGAGTGTGGCCTACAGCATCGCGCGTGGTGACTGCGACAAGATACACGTTAGATAGACCTTCGGGAACTGAAACAGTCAGATTTAAAAATATTTATTACCAGTACGCCTAGGCATTGTCATAACTCTACTACTGCACAACACGCCCTTTCTGAAGGAGGCTGTTTCAATTAGACGGGTGTGCATTTATTCCACTTGGACTAGTCAAGGCTTTGTCTTTTGATAAAGGAGTCCATTCATATTTTGATACCGAAACATCGTATTTTTAATCAGTACTCCTGCTCCGTTGTGATAAGAGAAAGATATGGTGCTAACACAAACTATCAAAGCTTAAAGATCACTACAAACAAGTCCAAACCCCTTAAATATTGTATAAATGCAAGCAAATTTCTCCAAGAATGGGGGGGGCGGTAACTCATGGGTGCCCTTTTCGTTTGCTTGAATGAACTACCATTGAAGGCGAAATAATTCGCCTGCACCACACTGAAATCTATTAACATTAGGAAAGAGTTAACAGAGAGGTCGGTAAGTTGTTTAATTGTGTTATCTCCCTTGAAGAAGTCTGTCAATTATTTTAATAGTCATGTCACGAGGCATATTCGTAAATAAGTCTTTAGTATCGCAACTGACCATAATGCTACCTCTAGTGGGTTTCATCTGGTTCAGTTCCTTGCAAGACTCGTGGGAGTTTTGTATAAGAATGGGTTACTTCCAATTAAAAATCTGAGTATTTTGGCGGACAGTTTTAAAACTACTTCAAAAAGACAGGTCCAGCAGAAAGAATAGGTCTGAAATGAATACATGTTTACGTATTTTAGGTAAGCAGTCTCTTCCATCTTCAATGACCGCTTTTCCTTTCAGGATTAAAAGCTGGAATGACACAATCAGCGGTTCAGATTAAACTGTAATGTTTAGTAAATATAATATACTACCGACGACATACCAGTTTCGACCTGAAACTACAGGAGAGGCAGCACAACGAGTTAACAATAAATTTTTAATATATCAATTGATTTGTGGTTTCAACCATGAATCGGTAAACTTCTGCAAAATAAGCTGTCTGACGGAGATTTTATTGCTTGAATGGAATCACTGAATAGTTCTCTTTTTTGGTGAGAGAGACAGACAAATGTTTAGAGTGAAAATGCTGTACGTACCATGGAACAACTGCACATATGCTCACCAACAGAAAAATTTAATAAACAACTGATCTAGCAGAATATGCGTAAAAATGCATCTGAAAGCTGCATCTGTTAACACAGCCGGAAAACAGTGCAGAACCGCAAATTAGCAAAACATATGAGATTAGAAAAGAAGTAAGCTACAGTATGCTAAGCCGTAAAACTTGGCCACCTTCCCCAGGCTGTATTGCCGTTATTTAACGTTATAGTGGCCTGGTCGTCGACCGTGTTACCCAAGGCCGAGCAGGCTGTTAGGGAACTGATGAAAAACTGTGTAAAGTATCTTTTCAGAACCTGCTTTACGCCACCGTCTGGCAGCAGGAGGCGTAGCAGCACCACAAGAAAACGACGAATATATGAGGATCGCAACGCAGTCGCTAGTCGTTCTGAATGGAGGACAAACAGCGCAATTCTTCCATACTATTTCAAATAAGATTCTACTGGAGCGATACCGATAATGAGGGCTGACTGTCGGAAATTGCAGCATCTCACTCACAGGTAGATAGCAGGAACTAGTTGATGAGGCCGAAAGGTATCCACGGGATAAGGCTTGACTTTCGTTCACAAAGCGCCAGGGTTTTGGCATTCTGAGCCTCTGAGGGTGGATGTCGTTGTGCTTAAGTGTGAAACCCTCTCATGATATCATCAAGACATCCACCCAAGACCGGTATTGCTCTTCTGGTAGCACCCAACATGGCTGATAGAATCATTGACTGGAAGCCTGTCAGCTAAAGAATAACAGTCCTCATGCTTAAGGGGCAATAGGCAAAGGCCTTGCTCTCGTTACAGGCCCATGCGCCCAATTTTGACTGAGAATATGAATCATTAACAGATGAAGTGAAACGTGCTGCTGCTGAAAGTTAGGGGTGATTTCAATTGTTAGGTAACATCAGACACCGAAAGTGGAAAGGCTTGATTGGTAAGGATGGCCCTAACGACATCAGAAATGGTTGCTGCGGTTGCGCTGGCTGCTTACAGCAGCTGTTTCATTTGAGGTAGTTGCGGTTATGGGCAAACAACAGTTTCTTTATAATGAACGCCTTCTGCAGGTATCGAAACTTGCATCAATGTACCTGGTATAGAGAAGCCTTTCCACAGAAGTCGATGATCAACTTGAAAACAGAATCGCGTGACCTATTCCTGTATATTGCGCTCTGTTGATAAACGGTAAAACCATGGAACTGGTAGAGAAGTTCACGTACACCGAGATGGTGTTTGACGGTGATAGAAAATTGGGGAGGAGAAGGGGGAGTGTGGGCGAGGAAGATATTGATCGACAAAATTTGAATGGCTAGGGGCATTCTGCTTGCACCGGCCCAAGCCGTTGAGTCTGAAGGCTAAGCTGTGTTCAAGTCGATCTTCTATTCGATGCTCACCTCCGATCATCATTAAGGGCTGTGACTAACACCCTTCGGTCCCAGGAAAAAACGGCTGAAATCGGATTTTGAGAAGAGTCGCTGGATCGAGGTGTCTCGTCTCAGCTGTCTGCGCGAGTCATGCTGTGCAACCCTGCTTGCTTGAACTGAGAAGTCACAGCTGCAATGGTTTGGCCATGCCTGCGAATGCGAACAGCGAAACAAATGCTACTTGTTCAACAGACAAACCGAAGACCCTTTGTGAGGACATGAATGACCTGGGTACAGTGCTTGACGTACTCTCGCCCAGATCCGGGTCACTCCCTTCCGAAACTCTGACGCTGCTACAGAGCTGGCAACATTTCAGAAATTGTGTGATGCATCTACCTCCGTTAGACCCGAGACGACAGCCGGTTGTCGACACTAGCTGACTGTCTGAAATCGCTACATCGAGAAAATTCACATGATGCTGCTTAGCATCACTGGGATTTTGAAGAATGAGCGTTGAAGCTAGGATCATGGGCTTGAGATACGGCTTCATTGTGGCAAACAAGCCGACATATTTGAATCTAGTGGATAAGATTTGCGAAATTCATGATAAGGCTCACTGTGACGCTTGTCATTCAGGGGATAATTATCACTGCCAATGTAAGCCGATTGAGAAGTACCTAAATCAACGAACCGAGGAATTGGATCATTATGTGATCGGTCAGTCACTCTAGAGGATTATCTCAGCAACCGCTTCAGCGCCTTGAAATCACCGGCCAGCAAACCAGGAGAAAGGGCACCTGAAGCACAACCGCAGAGCGGCAGAAAGCCGGAAAATGCGAACTGCTTCATGGCACTGTGTAGTTCGACAAAATACAGTAGTAGGTAATTGAACAATCACGTGTAAGACAAAGTGAGACGATAGTATGACACCAAAGTGCAGAACTGAATTAACATGCCGACGATACAATGTCATATTTCCGGTAGAGCTTCTTCGCTACTATTCCTCATCATGCTTACCCACTGTCTTAGACTATGCCCATAGGCTGCACTGTGTTGGAGCGCATGCTGTTCTTCTATTCTTCCAAATAGTGCGGCGATTTCAAGCATGCTGATCCACCAGTATCATCAACCTACTTGAGACGTTTGAATATATGGCCAACGAATCTCCACACCTTGTAGGCATTAGGCTGCCCATGTCAAAAAATGATTGCCCACTAATGAACGCGT